ATCTGAAGAACTATTCGCATCAGTGACTGAGGGTAACGATGAATCCTACAACAAACATTGCATATTACTGCACGTCCCTTACACCCCAAAATCTATTTCACAGCACGTGAAAATGTGATGTACAAAATACAGACTTATCATACCCGTTCAGCAAAGGACAATAGAGACCTTTAGCATCAGGTTTTTTTCGGTGTACCGCTAACCGCTAACCGCGGTTTGCGGTTTGAAGTTAGCGGTTAGAAGTTTGCGCGATTATGAACTTTAGCTAGGCGTTCCTGTTTGTGCTGCTAGAGCAATGGATTATGGGTAAATTCACTGAATGTAAACAAAAACAAAAATGGCCGCTGCTGCAAAACGAGATTTGGATGACCTTTTGGAAGTGTTTTTATATCAAGACAGCTCTGATTCTGTTATGTGAAAAGATAAATTTAACACCGTAAAAGTATGTGGAAAAACTTACTGACGTTTCGGATGTTAATCCTTCGTCGGAGTAAAGAGAGAGAACTAGGTAAAGTGTGAGTTTATATAGTAAGAGTAACAAAGAGAATAGACCAATAGGAGCAAGGTAGGCATGGTGACGAGAAATAAACAAAAAAGCAAAGGAAGTGTTAGACAAAAGAACAATAAAGGTGCTAAAAAGGAAACAAAAGAATTAAAACTTATCTGAAAACAAAGCGTTCATTCAACCCATGGGGATTATAAGTGCCCAATTGGTGAATAAGCCGCATTTCTTTGGTTTTGCGACAATCATTATTGCCGCTAATCAAAGACAAACCAAAAACAATAAAGTTAGAAATAGAGTGGTTGGGTAAGTTAAAATGGCGGGAGACAGGCTTATCAAGATCATTCTTACGAATACTACGAAGATGTTCACAGATACGATCGCCAAGACGACGGCCAGTCTCACCGACATACAACAAATTACAAAGCGAACATTTAATGCAATAGACAACATTAGAGGTGGTACAATCAAAGTGATCAGTGATTTTGAGTGACGAGTTAGGACCAACAATGGAAGTGTGCGAGACAATGTACGGACAAGTGTTACAGCGCTTGCGTGAGCAACGAAAAGTGCCAGGATCATTATTAGAATGTAAAACACCTTTGACTAGGAAAGAACGAAGGTTACGGTCACGTTTATTAGAAAAAAGGGGTCGGTCGTTGAA